TTTTTTTATGGAGACTTCATTGCACAGGCGTGATTGCTAACAGGCAGGCTGGGGAAAGCTAGAAGAGCCCTCCACGACTCTTCAGCATCCCTTCCTTGACGGGCAGAGCGCAGCACCTCTGGGAGGACTTGGGCATTCATTGACTTCCACGTGCATATAAAAATGCACGCGTGCATCTGCACACACACACACATGAACACGTGCCCATATCAACATTTTATATGTGTGTGTGTAGGTCGTGAAATTAGAATCGCAATGATAGGAGGAAGAAGAGATGAAAAATAGAGTAATCCATTACACATACTAGGAAGGCAGATGGGAAACACTAGCTAGAGGAAGACAGGAAACTGGCTGGAGCAAGAGCAGAGGACGGGAGACAGGGGCAGGGAATGCAAAAGAACAAAGTACAGTGACGAAGGTCTACAAAAATACTATGATCAAACTCATCACCGAAGTGTTTTTTAAGTGAGAAAACCCAGCACTGCTTTAGGAGATGGAAAGTAGGGACCCTGGTAAAGTTTGAGACATCTTATACATGCATGTCTTCCTTTGCTTTCTACTGCTGTGAAACACTACAAAAAGGGGAAGAACTTACAGATCACAACCTCTTATCACGAGAGACCTCTTATCAAGGCAAAATGTGATATATGACACATGCATTTTGGTTTTCAACATAGTTTCTGATTTGTTGCTTCCTTCCCAAAGGAAAAGTTCTGACCTTTCCCAGCTTTTCCGGTGGCCATAAAAGTATTATCTGATTTGCCTTGTCTGACCCTCTTCACTCCAGAGGTCCTAAGCTTTACCTTCAAGGAAGGAATGCTGAAGGAGTTTGGAAGGCTCCGCCAGCTTTTCCCAACTGGTCTATTAGCAATCATATCTATACAATGAAGTCTCCATTACAAAAGACAGGGTTTGGAGATTCTGAACAGCAGAAACTCATGGGGCTTCCTAGAGGGCAGCTGCTATGGTCTGCTCTGCTCTTCCTCCAGAAGGACTGGTGAAGGACTGCTCCCTAGCACTCCCACTGTATTCAAAGGTGGGACTTTTGGAGGTGGCTACGCCAAGAAGTCAATGGGCTCATCAACAGATTAACTCGTTGATGATTCCGTGGCTCAATGGGCTAGTGGAGGGTGAGAGCAGCCTTAGAGGTGAGGCCTATTCGCAGGAAGTAGGTCAATTAGGACAAGCCTTTGAAGAGTATAGACTGTTCCACAGGTGCATTTTCCACCACCACCTACCCACCTCTGTGCGTGCGTGCGTGCGTGCGTGCGTGCGTGCGTGTGTGTGTGTGTGTGTGTGTGTGTGTCTGCCTGCCTGTCCTCCTTCCTGTCCACCATGACACAGGCTGCTCTCCCCTCCACCCACCCTTATTTATTACCTGGCCTCAGGCACTAAAGTATCAAGCCAAGCAACCACAGGCTGAAATCTCCTGAACTACAAAACAAATCTTTTCTGTTGTTTTGATCTCAGATATTTGTCACAGCAATGGAGAGCTGGCCAACACAGTGACATATCCAGGGACAGCAAACACAGTCCGAACCCCTTCTCCATACCTCACACCACACACCTCTTTGTCGATGGTTTTTATATCCTTCACAATAAAGCGTCTCCCTGACAGGACAGCACTCAAGAAAATGAATCAAACCCAAGGAGGACAGGGCTGTAGGAACCCCACCTGACAGCTGGTCGGTCAGAGGGTGAAAAGACAGGGTATCTGGGTGAAGAACCCCTAAGCAGAGGGTTGAAGATCTAACGTGGCTTTTGTTTAATACTGACAGTAAGACACAGAGAGGATTTAAGGAGGAAATTTTGAGGCATATGTTAACAGTTCTAAACTGGAATGTGCTCTCCCCACCGTGCCTCATTTGTCCACACTGTTTTGGGAACTGCGTTCCCAGCTTGTTTTGAAGGCTTGGAGCATCTGGGAAATAGAGCCTGCACCTGGTTTAGCTATTCTCGCTTCCACCAAATCTACCACCAAACGCTCCTGATATCATAGGCCGTGCTGCCCGGCTCTGCTTCCCTGGCTGTGACCATCAGAAAGCAGGAGACAGATGAAGCTTTCCCTCCCCTCTGCCGAAACACACAAAAAGCGTGCTGTGTTCAGGGGAGGGCGCCAAGAGTACAGACGGTCAGCCATCGGATACAGACACTGGTACAGACCAACCCATCTAGACAACTGTGTGTGGCATTTCAGAAAGGCGCTGACCCTTCTTCTACTGCAGGCTGAGAAGTCAGGGCCTGGGAAGAGGAGCCATTACTAAAGACAGGTGTCAGCAAGCACACGTGCTGCTCAGACGCACATCAAGGCTCTACTCCTCACTTCCCAGCACCACACTTCTTGTCTCTTCAGCTCCAGCGGGCCCTGTTACAATCCAAGGCTGTGCTCCCAGCAGAAGGTCAGGTAGTCAACCTGCGCAGCATCTGTACGGCACCATGTCAGCTAGTGCACTCGATGAACAAGCCTTGAGGACACCTTCACTTGAATGACAACGGACGTCCACAAGTGTCTCAGGACCCAGAACGGAAACAGTCAAGATGCAGGCTCACTTAGAGCCCCAGAGTCCACTAGGACCACGCCCACTGGAGCCACCAGTGCCTTAAGACTTCACAACAGAAGAGCCACTACCATACAACCCCAAGAGAGCCACAAAAACCAACCCTGAAGGCAAGAAGTTCTAGAAGGCATAACCTCTTCCTTCCCCAGGGAGCCTCGAAGGCAGGGCCCTGAGACAAAGGTTACCTTCCAGCTTTAAGGTTTTAGACATGCTGGGAATCTTTCACTCCCGCCCTCTTGTCGATTTCTCCCTTTGGACTGGTAATGTCTAGCCTGTGAGTGTCCTGTAAGCATTTGCAGGAAGCACATAACCCATCCGGCTCCCTGGCTTCACATGGAGAGCAATGTGCCTCAGGATAAACAGCACCTGGAGCTGTCATCCACTCTGATTAAGCAACTCTGAGGAAAGACCTTGAATGGCTAGAATGTCTGTCACTGGAATGCTGCAGCCCCAACCTCAAGTTGATGGTGTGAGGAACAGGGGCCTTCTGGGGAGTGACTGAGGGTAGAGGTATCAGTAAGTGAGATCAGTAGATTGTAAGAGAGCCCTGGAGCTTCTTGGTCACTTCCACTGTGTGGGACACGGGGGGGGGGGGGGCAGGAACCGTTTATATACCATGAATGAGCTTCTCACCCATCACAGAATCCGACAGCACCCTGATCTGACCTCCTACAAATCCACCAGAAATAAATTCCTGTTTATAAGCCACTCAGCCTATTCGTGATTTGTTACAGCAGCTCTCTGTGACTACTCTGGATGCTTGGCAGGATTTCAAGGCCCTAAGAATGGCCAGCCTACAGCACAAAGGACCTTGAACTCCAAATGACTGAAACGCAAGTCACCCCACTACCACACACACATAAACAAGAAATAAAGTTTTCTGTGGCAAACTACTGAGATGAGTCTCCTGCAGAGACAAGCCCAGAGAGTGGAAGGGACGGGACACGCCTAATGTCTGACTGAACACCTGGCAGCCAGAATGTGACTGATTAATCTTGCTGGATACAGAAGAGCCTAAGGTAGCGGCACACAGCTTGGTGTCTGGGGAGGGCATTTCCAGAAAGGGGAAGGAGATTCCCCAAATGACCCTGGCACTACCCAACAGACTGGGAACCAGGGATAATAAAAGCACAAGGGAGGCCCACTAGCACAGAAACAAAGGGGGCTCTCTGCTTCCTGCACACCATAATGTCTCTGTTCTGTCCTGCCCAACCCACCATGATGGAATGAAGCCATGAGACAAAGTAAACCTTTACTCCATTGGGTGTTTGTTCAAGTTTCTCATCACAGAAATGAATGGATAAACTAACACACAGGAGAAGCAGTATTTTCTAAATGCTGCCCCCGAATGGGGGAATCCCCACCACACACCACAGTCCTGGACAACACCAACTCCCAAAAAAACTTTATTTATGGTTTCAAGTGGTAAAATGTCATTGGTCTCTGTGGGGCACCTAGCAGGAAAGAGGGAGGCTGGGGTGGGGCTTGGGGTGGGCCCACCCATTACAAAAATCAGAGGCTTTTATAAAAATGCTATAAATTGGTATCAAAAGAAAACCCAAGGGAGGCTGAAGGAGGAGGCAAGGAGGGTGAAGGAAAGAGCGAGGGAAGGACCAAAACCTCCCACCACTGGGTAAGGGAACCGGGCTGGGAAGGAAAGTGTGGGAGAAGTTGGGACGGCGATACAAAGTGCATAAATGTGCTTCCCAGACACTCCTCAGAAGTGGAGGGGGGAGGAGGCTGCAGTCTGAGCCTCAGTGGGGCTCCGCTGTCTCCTCACTTGGGAACCCCACAGGAATGAGACTGCCAGATGGGAAGGCCCTGCAGTTGGGAGGGAGAGAGGACAAAGGTCAGAGAAGACACAAAGCTCCTGCTTCCTCTGCCCTGTGGCCATCCTGATTCTCCCTGCTAGGACCTCAAGTTAGAAGCTCTAAACTGCACAGGCTAGCTGACCACACAGGGGTCAACTGCAGCACCTGGAGGACTGTCCCAGCACACAGGACACAGGCTGGGCCGGTGGAAGTCCCTCCCCCTCCTGAGTCCCAGGAGAAACAGCAGCCTCATGAGAGGAGGTCTCACCTGCCTCCTTCCGGCCTCTCGCAGAAAGAGGAGAGCTAAGCACTAGAGGAGGCCTGGAGGACGCAGATGGAAGACGGACAGGCAACCTCCACACCAGGCCCTACTTTCTCCTCAGCCCAGGAGCGCATCCTTACCTTCGCCCGGATCAGATCTTTTTCTTCTTTAGCTTCAGGGCTTGTAGCCAGTTGGGTGATGATCCTTCTGACCTGGAAGGAAGAGTGCAAAGGTCACAAAAGCAAAGTTTAAAGAAACTGAACAAGGTGAGAACATCCACCCTCCCACAGGAGAGGCAACCTGGAGTTTAGCTGCAGACATGGAACCCCCTACCTAACGTGAAACAGCCTCGGTTTTCCACTTTTGTAAAGTGGGTCTCCTCTTCTGAGGGTCATACCTGAAGCTCAGGAAGTACCTAGAACTCACTTACCCTGAGGATTTTTCTGGCTTCGGGGGTAATGCGAGGGGCTTCCCTAGCCCTGGGACCTTGCAGGACTTAGAACGCTGGACAGAAGACTCCTTCTGGCTTGATTTGCTCTCTGTCACCTCTCCCTCCTCAGCTGAGCGGTTCCGGGAGCGCAGCTTGGCCTGAGAGACAAAGATGGAAGATGGACAGGCAGAAGAGTCAGAAGGCCAAGAGGGTGCAGTCCCACGAACCAGGCCTGAACCCCTCCTATAGATAGAAAGCCAAAGATCTGGGCCTCAGGTGATCGTCACACCCCAAACACATCGGAAAGGTTAAATGAACAACATTCAGTAAGTAGGCTGAACAGAGTGTGGCGACTCCCCACACTGATTTTGGTTGTCTGTCCCCACCCCAGAGCCAACTTCTGTGCCTACCTCAAGGCTAAGAAAACCTGCTTACAAGAAACCCTGCCCGAGCCACCTCCCATTCCCAGCCTCTATCAGGAAATCATTAACTCCTTGTCCTGACAGCCCAGCCCATGGCTGTACAAACTCTTTGCACCTCTACTTCTCACTTCACCAGAGCTACTCGTGGGCACAGACTAGGCCCAACCCCTACCCACCACCCCAGAAGCTCGGAGACAAAAGAGCACCTGTTCTTTCTTTCATTAAACTCAGCACACTGCAGAGCTAAGCAAGGAACAAGGAGACCTTCTGGATCACTCCTTAGCAAAATTAAGAGAAGAGATGGGAGAAGGGGCTGGGAAAGGAGGAAGGGAAGGAAGGGTGGATGAATAGATGGATGAATGGAAATGCTGGGTACCAGGTAGGCAGGCCAGATGGCTGGGGTGTGTGCTGAATGATCACATTACCTTCAAGGCTGATGGGCTCAGGCCAGGGAAGAGGTTGACTTTCAGCCCTTTGGTGCCCAAGGACTTCCGCGTCCTGCGGCTCTGAGGCTCCTCCACTACCTCCTCATCTGACGATGGCACCCGGGAAGCCCTGGGCTCTGCCAATGTCAGAGGAAGGTTATCACACTGAGCAACATACCAGCCACTGCCCTTGTTCACCCTGTCAGACACTGACACAGACTCCATTCCGTTCACACACTGATCGTACCTGTTGAGTCTTGGAACAGCCGAGTATCCGAGTCTGCTGTCTCTGACAGGCCCAGGGTACCCCCAGGCCGGATGGCTGGGGCCCGGTGGCCCCGCTTACGCCCTAGGTTGGCACGACTCCGATACATGGCACTATCAAGGATCTCAGTGTCCTGCTCAAAACAACAGCAACACTGTGGCTATTGCCCCACAGTCCTGCTTCACCCCAGAAGACCACCTCAGCATCACCCCCAGGCGCTGATGGCTGCTACAGTTCTTGCTGCCATGAGACACCGCAGCCTGTATCTGTCTCCTGTGACTGCCCCGAAAAACTCTGACAATGGGGTCTGACGCCATCACCCACATATCCCGACCCCTCCAACAGCCCATTCACCACCACAAGTTCACCCTCACTGACCTCTATGAAGGAGAAGTCCTCACTGGGGCAGCTGGGCAGAGGTCCTCGGGGAGGCCGCCGGGGGGCCGGGGCTGAGCCCTGCTCGGCTTGCCTAGCCTCCGAAGTGAGACTCCAGGTGCCATCCACCTCTTCCACCTGGCTGGCTTCACCATCAGGCTGAGGCCTCAAGAAAGGCAAAGGGTCTCTGCTAGAATCCTGGGGCTCCGCTTGGTCGGCACCTGCAGTGTCTCCCTCTTCCTCTGACAGAACCCTGAGGCCCAAAGCTGCTGATTCCCTCTGAGTAGATGCCACAGGGCTGCCGGCTGCCATTATCCCCTCCAGAAGGCTCTGGGAGCCAGAAGGTGGAGAGCACGCCAGGTACCTGCTGGGGCTGCAAAACCATCAGGACAGAAGTCATTCACCCACCCATGAGACTCTCCCCTGAAGCAGAGAGGGCACAAGAAAGGGCTGAGCCCACCTGGTTGCCTGGACGGTCCCAGGGCAGGCTTTATCACATGCTATAATCTGGGCATCCTTGATCAAGATCTGTGTGCCGGCACATTTGAGCGTGCGCACTGAAGCCAAAGAGCAACCTCAGCCACCATTCCGTCTGTGTGTGCCTGTCTGTCTGACTTTTGAGAGTCAGCTTCCTTTCTGTGGGTCCCACAGACCAGACTCGGCCAACTAAGCTCCCACAGTAAGCACTTCTACCTGCCCTGCCCCCCTTTCCTTTGGAAAGGTTCTCACTGGCCTGGAACTTTCACTGGGTAGGCTAAACAGGCAGGCCAGGGAGGCCCAGAGACCTTCCTGTCTTCCTTCCCAGCCCTGCGATACAGGCATGCACACCACCACATCCAGCCTTTCTATATTGGGTTCCAGGGCCCAAACTCGGGTCTGCATGCACTTCCTGCCTGAGCTAACTAGCCCAGAAGGAGCTATCTGGACAACGACACCTAAACAAAAACTTTCTCTGAGTCTCATACCTACCTTACACATGCAGACTGAAGGTAATTTTACGGTAATTCTGGTTTACCTGCACCTTGTGACCTGCACTGAGGCCAGATCTGGCTTTCTGTGTGATCTCATGCTGTGCTCAAAACGTTTCAGCTTTTATGGGGCTGGAGAGGTGACTAAGATTACCGGCTGCTCTTCCAGAGAACCCAGGTTCAATTCCCAGCATCCACATGACAGCTCACACCCATTTGTAATTCTAGTTCCAGAAGACCCAACACCCTCTTCTGCCTCCCAAAGACAACGCACGCACATGGTACCCAGCTGTACATGCAAGCGAACTATCCACACACATTAAATTAAAAATATGTAACTCTAAAGGAAATGTTTTTTAAAAGTTTCAAATTTGGGGATTTTGGCTTTTTGAGTTAGAAATGGTACCTGTGCCTCAGCCGTTGCATGGGTCCCTTTGCCCGTAAATACCCTGTGCTCCTCTACAGAGGCACGAGGGAGGGAAAACTAAAAACCTACAACTATCAGCAAGAGCTCTTGGGACATCCCAGAATTAACTCTTATTACTGCTGCCCTAAGTTCCTATGGTTCAAGCGGTGCTCAGGAGCCAGTGCCTGCATGGCCACACTTCCTGGGATAAGGCAAGGACTAGCCCATCTGTGCCCTCCCCATGTTCACACAAGCTTTCAGGCCTGGGAGCCATGGGCTCCAACCTACACCAGCCCTACCCTGCAGCTCCAACCACCTTCAATCCTGTGTGTCTGTCTCCCCTGCCTGTCTGGGAGCTCAAGGGAAAGCCAGGCTCTTTTTCATCTTTGTGGCCCCAGCATCTCTGGCCCGGAGGTGAGACCACACACAAACATTCACTGAATGACAGGCAGGGTTACCTTGGATGTCAGCATAGCAAGGTCCCCCCTCAGAGCAAGGCACAAGTACCAGGGGGGCACTGGCCACACCATGACCAGTTGCCACTCCCTAAAACATGCTCACTCATCACACACCTAGCGTAGGGTGGCGTGTGCCAGCACCCTCCACACCTACACACAGCACAGAGCCACACCCTAACACGTACGGGGTAGGAAGGGCTAGCAGGCAGTGCCTGGAAGCCAGGCTGCTGTGAAGCCAGTGACACTGTAGAAGGTAAAGAAGCAGGCAGGTGAGTCAGTCCTGAGCAGGAAGATGAGACAGGGACAGGGAGAAATGTGTCAGTCTGTCCTTCCACGAGCTGCTGACAGATGGAAATTAAAGCAGCATGGGAGGGAGAGAGGGAGGAAGGAGGTGGCAGAGGTAGGTACAGCAAGACTAAAGAGCAGGCCTGGACAGGAGCCAAAGCCAGCTCAGAGTCAGGGAGGTAGCAGCCAGACGGCAGCAACGGTGCCCCGCCCAGCCTGGACAACCAGGCAGCTGAGGGCATGTGAACTGACTGAGAAGGGAGAGAGAGGCCTACTATCAGCCCTACTGTCAGACTTACTGAAGGCAGTAAGCCCCTCTACTGACTCCACTTGAGGGGTGGCGTGGAGCACGGAACCCTGGGGAGTGCACACCCACCCCAGGGCCTCTGCCTTCCGCATCTGAGTGCCCTGGGCTTCCACAACCTAAGGGCTTCCTGGCAGGACAGGAACCTGGGTCCTGAGCCTGCTAGGCCTACAGAGACACAGACTCTGACCTGCACCCATGCCAGCCTTGGCCCCAAAGTCTCATGCCCAGTTCAAGCCTCTCCTTCATCACCTGTTCAAAGGGAGTCCTAACAGTCCCAGAACTTCATTGATTTATAATACGGTTGATACTTGACAGACCCAAATTGTTAGGATGGTCCTCACCGTTCCAAACAGCAGTTCCTGGCCTGAGAGGATGCCTCCCCTAAGCCCTCCACATGCACCCAAACTGCCACTGCTACCCTCCACCAGCGCTTCTGATGCAAATACCAGGGACAGATCTGAATCGTGTCCTGCTATTTAAGGCTCAAAGACCTAGAATGCAGGAGCACCAGACTCAGAGCTGGGACGATGCATCTCAAAGGACAAAGTTGGCACTGATGCCAGAGAGACCCATGGGGGCACTCAGAAAGAATGAGACAGTTACGGCCCTCAGGAACAGAAAGGAATCCACAGCCACACGCAGTGAACTTGTAAACCATACTCCCGCTCTGGGCCTCGACATCCCAGAAGTGAGGTAGCTGGACTCAATGACACTTTGAATCGCATAGCCTACAACGATTTCAGACTGGCTGGGAAGGTTTTCTACTGTGGGGTCCAAAGGACAGGAGCAAGGAATGGCCAAGAGACCGGAAACTGATGATCCTGTGCCAGCTCTAGCAGACTCGCTGTCACCAAGACAAGAGGGCCCTCCATCCTGAGAAACACCACCGACCTCCATGAGTTTGTCATAGTTATTCCTGACAGGAGTCCAACCAACAATGTATTTGTTCAGTGTGAGGACAGCAACAAAAATGTCCCCAGGGGGCCTCCCTTCATGGACATTCCACATCCACACTTGCAAACCCGTACTTTTTTAAAGCAATTACCACAGGAGGGGCAAGTCTGCATGTGTTACCCTTCTTCATGAAAACCCAAGAGACCCTGGAGTAAATTCTCAACTTACATATGAGGACATGGGTCCTGAGGAGGTAAGGCCAAAGACATTCTGAGGAGAAAAGGCTACTGCTTCAGGTCACTTGCCTGAGGTCACAGAGGTGGGTAGAGAATCAGGACTAGCAAGAATATAGGCCCCAAGCCAACATGCTCCGACCCATTCTCAAGGACCTCCTGATACAAAGAAAATCTCCAAACTTTTCTTGAAAGATAAGTATTACACACCAGCTCAACAGACATTAGTCAGGTGAGTCTGGAAAACTTTGCTCAACTCCAAGTCCTAGATATGCTGTTAAGAAACCAAGTCCCATACAAGGCCACAGTACATAGCTCTACTCCAACACAGGACTGGCTTTCTTTAGGGCATGTATCAGGGAACGTGCCTTCCACACAGGCCCTCTCAAACACTGATCTCCTTCCAGCTGTGGAAGAAAGGTATTTTCTGCCATACACAATGAGGCTCAGCTGCCTGCATTTGGGCTAAACTCTAGCTCAGGTGACAACACCTGTTGGACCGTGGTAGTGTGTCCTGGAGAGCATGGATGCTTTGGGGTTTGGAGACCCAAGAAGCCTCACCACCAAAGCCATCCTCATGCTGCCACTGTCCTGTCAGTCTGCAAGGAGCCTCCTCCCTCACCCTAGACAACCGAAGAGAATGGTACTCTCACTCCTCAAGAACCAGCCCCATGAGTAGAGAGCAGAGCCCTGCTCCTCAGGCCACACCTGGAAGCCGCTGACAGAAGGAAGTTAGAGGGTAGAGTGTTGCCTCTACGGCCTCGAGCAGGTCATACCATCACTCAACCTGACAAAAGGAGGGCATCAAAATCCCTCTCTCATTGCAGGGGGCAGCGGTGAAGGGCCATGAAGTAAAATGCCCAGCTGAACGCTCAGGCACATAGGGCTGAATCCCAGGAAGGAAAGTGAGAGCAGGCACATAGAGAACCTGTGCTCCCTTGTGCCAAGACTGTTGCTGCTGGAACCCTGAGCCTCCCAGGTGAACTGGGAGACCGGCAGCTCAGAGCCCGACTTGTCCAGGTTCACAGGAACACTGCCGCCCCAACATTCAGATCTGCACAATCACACCCCTACAGACTGCATGCAACCTCAACCATTCGCTGACCTCAGCCAAGTCACCTGAGAACACCCTTCCTCGGTTCACTTCCTAACCCTGCGTCTGCTCTCTCCTTCCTCCACCTCCATGCCAAATGTCTCTCTGGTTCCCCACTAGAAGCCTCCCTAGTCCTTTCCTGGTCCCTCCCACTCTCCTCCCACTGCCTTCTGCCCTTCCACTTAGAACAGCCCCCACCCCAACACCTCCCTCTCCCTCCCCTCCCACAAGCCTAGGAGGAAGCGCCCACTCAGGAACTGAGAAAGAGAAGAAAACCAAACCTCAATGGATGAAATGTTCGTGACTAAGAGACTTGATGCCTTTTTCACGCCCTTTCCACAAAGTATGGAATCACCTGAGCTGGCTTCAGAACATCCGTGAGACACAGTGGTTGGTTCTTACCAGCCTGCACCCAGGAAAAGTTCTCCTTCCCCAGGCTGCATGCCTAAACCCCAGCACTCGGGAAGCAGAAGCAAGCTGATCTCTCTGAACTGGATCAGCCTGAAGTACATGGGGAGTTCAAGGTCAGCCAGGGCTACTTAAAGAGACCCAGCCTCAGAAAAGCAAAAACAACGACATGAAAAAGGAAGAAAGGAAGGAGAGTTTGCTTTCATTGACTTGGGGGTGGCATCAAGGTCACAGGGCCAGGATTTGGTTCTCAGCAACTTGAGATTCTCAAGCCCTGCTCTTCTGGGCTCTGAGACAGAGGCAGTTAGATGGATGAGCTCCCAAGCCCGTGGTCACCACCCACTGTAATGTGGGCTGTGGTGACTGGGTAAAGAGAGCGCACGGCTGCCCCTTCTACCTCCTGGGAGCCCACTGGGCATCAGAGCTTGAGGTCTGCAGAACTCAGCACAAACTGGACTAGGAAGGCAGCTCACCTGGTAAAGTGTTTTCCTTGCCAGCCCGAACACTTGAGTGCACTCCCCAGATCCACACACAGACACAGCGGTGTGTGCTAGTAACCCCAGCACTGGGGAGGCAGAAGCGGGGTGATCCCCTGGGGCTCACTGGCCTGCCCACCTAGCCTACTTGGCAAGTTTCAGAGCAGTGAGAGAACCTGTCCCCAAAGGCGCAGAGTGACAGGCATGATGGCAGAGGTACAGACGTTTGCATGGATGTGTCCCACGCACACGTGCGCTTGTACATGCATTCGCAACTCACCAGAAACCAAAGATGTGGCAGAGTCCACTTCCCATAGATGGCCATAACTCATTCACAGATAAAGCCCAAAACATGAGCGGCAAAATTTCACATTCATGCTCCGAAAAAGAACTTGTCTAAGTTGTGTGTTTCAAAGTTCAACACGAAATATTAAACGTGGAATTGAACACTCACAGCCCTAACACTAGAGTCCACAGCAAAAGCTGGTTTTCCTTCCTCCTCAGAGAAACTCCCCTCATTTGTTTTCCCTCAGGTTTTCCTTCATTTAAAGCAAAATCATGAATCCCCTCGAAGCCCCAAGATGGAGTACCTTACCTGGCTCCCACACAAGGCGCTTCTCCTGTGTCCATCCCAGTGTCTTCAGAGTGAGTCTCGGAGGAAGGTGATGAGCTGTGCTCACCCCGTGTCTCTGGCCCGCTTGTCTCGCCCACCCCCAGCTCCCTGACTTCCAAGGCGTCCTCAGTCTCCAAACCAGGGGACAGACTGCCACTCCTCTTAGGATCTAGCTCTAGGCCAGAGCCCACTCTCCCCACCCCACACTCCCTAACATCGCTTGGAGCCCCACAGAGCCTCAGGTTCTGGAGTCCCAAGTCCTGGGCCCAGTCCATCTGCCCAACCCCACATCCCTGAGAACCTCCCGACTCTAGGTCGCAGGGCACCTCCAAATTCCTCAGACCTAGATTGTCACCCCAGTCTACCTGACCCACCCCAAGTTCCCTGGGATCTCCAGGGCTGCAGCCTGCCTCCAGGGCCATGTTTCTCAATCCAAGATCAGGTGTCCAATCTGCCTGTCCAACTCCACGTTCTCTGGACTTAAGGAACTCTCCAGCCTCCACACCTGACCAGTCGGGCTGCCCCACACCACTCTCCCTGGCCTGGCTGTGTCCTCCTCTTTCCCCCTGCCCTGGCAAGTCTCTGCTTCTTGCCTCCACGTCACAAGTCCAGTCCTTCTCCCCAACTCCCACCCCCCTGGGCTCCTCAGAACCTCCAGTTCCCAAACGACTGGCCAGGTCTCCATTGTTCAAGCCCAGGCTGTCTGACCAGCCCACCTGTCCCACAACATTCTCTCTAGCCTCACTGGAGCCTCCAGAACTCACACAGCTAGACACTTCCAAGTTCCTGAGACCTAGCTGGTCAGTCCAGTCCACAGCCCCAGCCTTTGTCTCTCCAGGAGGCACGAAGTGGCCACCTCCCATCTTCCCGGAAGGGCTGAGGCAGCCAATACCCAATCTGTCGTTGCCAATGATGCTAAACTGATAGCCACTCTCTGTGCCCTCCATGCAAAGGTCCCTGCTCCAGTCTTGCCGCCCTGGACTAAACGCTGCCCCTGGCTGGGCTGTAACACCGAGGCTGAACTCGCCAGCCCAGCCTCGCTGCCCTGTCTTGTCTTCCAAGTCGTTGGTAGGGCTCTGACCTCCTGCCTGCGCTACCCCCTGCAGCCCTGTGCTCTGGCTAGAGTCACCATCTTGCCAGTCACCCTGGTCTTTCTGCCTAATGGCTCCGTCTTGCGGCCTAGGTGTGCTAGGGCTCAGCAGGCCCCCAGATTCTCCTTCTTCCAGCTGGCCCACGTCCCTGCTGGCCTCATAAAACCTGTCTTCACCACTTGGAGTCTTCTTCTCAAACTCCTCATCCTGCTGCTGAGCTTCCTCAGGACTGAAGCCAGAGCTCAGGGTTCGTGGCCCGAATCCTCTCTCCTGAGAGCTGAGGGCCCTTGAGCCACAACCGCTGTAATCCTGTAGCCATGCACTCTTGCTGAACTCCTGGTCCTGCTGGGCTATGGCCCGGCTGCTGTGGATGTCGAGAACAGAATCTCGCTTCTCAAACTCACGGTCCTGCTCCTCAGCATCCTGGCTGCTATAGCCAGAGAGGTCCTTCCTCCCCAGTTCTTGACCCTTCTCATCCGCATCTGGGCTGGTGCTCAGAGATGTTCTCTTCCCAAACTCCCAGTCCTGAAGGTTTGCATCTCGGGTGCTGAAAGAACCCAAGGAATCTTGCTTCCCAAACTCCTGGTCCTGGAGCTCTTTGTCACGGCTGGAGTAAGTGCCCTGGGAATCTCTCTTTCCAAATTCCCATTCCTGTGCATCCACCTCCAGGCCCTGGGTGCCAAGCTGGGCTGGCTCTCCCACTGCCCACTCGTGGACAGGCCCTTCACTCTCACCTTGGTTGCTGCTGACTCCTGTCGTCTCTGGGCCCAGGCTGCACCTGCTGACCCATTCCCTGTTGCTCCCCTCCCCAGACCCTCGCCCACACTCGCTGCTCCAGTCTTTTTTCCCAAGACCTGGGTCTCCACCAGGGCTCCTGCCTCCAAGGCTGTAGCTCTGAGCAGCATCTTGAGACCAGCTCGAAGGACCAAAACTGCTGGGATGTGTATCTGCTGCAACCCCAAATTCACTCTGCAGGTCTTTCTGGGACCAGCCAAGGAGCCCCTGGGACAAAGAAGAAAAGAGAGAGAGAGAGAGAGAGAGAGAGAGAGAGAGAGAGAAAGGAGAGGAGAGAAGAGGAGAGGGGTAGGGAGGGAGAAAGGGAAGAAAGAATGCTTAGAGTTAACTGAGGTGGGATCATTCCAAATTGAGAATGACGGCTACCTACCTACCTACGGCCTCAGAGACCCACTTTGGCAGAAGAATGCTGCCAGCTGTGTGACCTTGAGCAAATCACTCAACTACTCTGGGCCTAAGGAGCCTCATTCTTAAACAGGCGATTCCTACTACATGGGACCTTTGTGAGAGGATCAATCAGGAGCCGTGTAAACAGCCTGGCACACATGGCCACTCAGCTGAACCGTCCTGTGGTCGTGTTTACAGCCCTTGGGCAACACCTGGCTGGCTGCCAGGAGAAATCCTGCCTGAAGGAGAGGCCTAAATACGGGCCTGTTAGGAGGGGGCACACCGAATATGAAGGGTAACTGGCTTGCAACTTACCTTGCAAACCAAGGTACCCAGAGCTCTTCCAGCCCCCACGAGCACCAGGCCCATCCTTCCCTCTGCACAGCCTTCCCCAGGAAGACTCCACCCTCAGCCAGCCCAGGAAAGTCAGGGCACGAGGCTCCCTGCACCCGCACCCAACTTTTCCTGACTCACCCCAGAGCCAGAGGGCGGGCGGGCTTGGGGCTCAGGGCTTCGGAGCCTTCCAGCCTCGTCCCGCAGTGCCGCGTTGGCCAGTAGCCGTTCCAGGACAGACGTACTGGCTTCCCTCTCCCCAGGCCAGGCCATGCCCCCCCCCCTCTCCCCCAGTGACCACCCTGAGGCTGCTGGGTGAGCCAGGTACCGGGACAGGGCAGGGCTGCTCCCCCAGCCAGGACCTGTCTGACGGCTCTGGCTCCTGCCTGTCCCGGCCTTGCTCTCCTGCTCCCGAAGCAGCTGCAGTTCTGGCGGCCCCGCCCAGAAGCCAATTGAGTCACCCACATCCTGGGACAGACACACCTACTGCAGGAGTCAGTGTAGGGTTAACCCCTTCCTGCTCCTCCCTCCTCCTCCAAACTCCAGAGGGCCTCCGTTGGCTCCTCCTTGCCTCCAGCTCCACCCCAACCAATCCAGTCCAGGACGAAAAATAGTCTCAAAAGCTACCTGGATCCCAGCCCTTAAATCCAGAGGCAGTCTGCTCAGAGAAAGGGCACAGAGCCGACAACTGGCTGGTCCTGGCTTGCGCCCAGCTACCAACTGGCTGGGTAACTCTACACAAAACACTTCCTCTGGGCTTCAGCTGCTGGTCTACAAAACAGATCCTGAACTCAACGGTATTTCCAGTTGTAAAAGCCAATACTTCCACAGCATTTATGAGCCCAACACTATACTCAGAACTTTGACGCATCCTAACTCATCTCAGAGTGACAGCCTTTCACAGTCATTACCAATTTACAGGCACAGAAACTGAGGCAGAGGGTAGAAGAGGATCCAATTCAAGGTTACACCTGGGCAAAGAATTAGCAGCCACAGCTGAGCCCAGGTGGCGTACCTACGCTGGTGGTGAACCCAGGCCCTCCAAGCCTGAACAACTTTCCCATTCCCAGGACTATCAGGTTGACTGCTCAGCATGTGTGCACAACCCAAGAGGCACTTTCTCTGTTTCATTAGCTGGGGAGATGGCTACATAAGGCAAGTGCTTACAGCACAACTTTAAATCTCCGGTACCCAAAAGAGCTTGGCCCTGTGTAATTCCCCCAGGATGGAGAAGCAGAGGCAGGAGGATCCCTAGAGCGCATTAGCCTAGGTAAATGGGTGAACTGAAAGTACAGTGAGACCCTGTCTTAAAAAACAAGGTAGACAGAGATGCCTCAGGTTGATATGCCTGTGTGTGTGTATCACACACTTTAAAAGAGTGCACAGCATTCCAGTGCTGGTGTCAGGACTAGAACTCAAGCAGCTAAACCTGAAGCACCACCCTAATCACCCCTGCTAGCAACTGCAGAGATAGGAGATGTGGGTGCATGGCTCCTTGCACTGTGTGGTGTCCATGTTAAAAAATGAAGCCCACCCAAACCCTACCCCTGATGCCTTGTCCACCTTACCTCAGAGCAGGTGCTCGGTGACTGTCCATCCTTTAGCTCAGGTCCAGCTGCCCGCCTCGCACTGCCTGAGTTGGGTGGTGGTGATGCCAAGAGATCGTCCAGCCAGCAAGAACTGCTTTCAGGTCCTGTCAGCTCAGGGGACACCCTGCAGGGCTCCTGAGCCTCCGTCCTGGGCTGGGTGGCGTCTGCCCAGCCTAGGGTCACCACCTCTTCCTCAACAGGCAACGCCTGCCCAGGATCAGGTACATCCACGAAGAGGATGCAGGGCTGGTCTGAGGGGGTCGGCTGCTGCTGTCCCAGAACTGGCTCTAGCACAGGCAGGGCTGCCTCCTCGGTGGCCAGAGCAATAGGGGACTCCTGCCCCACCAGCGGCTCCTGGTCCTCATAGTTCTCCTCCGCCTGAAGTAAGGGTGTCCCAGCTGGGCCCTCAACTGTCGAGGGAAGACCAGCTGGGGCCTGAGGCTCACTGGTTCCATCATCTCCCTGGGTTAGGGAGATGCCTGGATCATTTCCCTGAACCTCAGAAATAGGCCTTCCTGGACTCTCTGGAGCTGATGGGGTTCCTGGTCCCAGCTGGGACACCCCTTCTTCCCTGCAGGCTACAGCCCAATTGGCAGCTTCAGCTGCCTCTGCAGCTTCACTGGCTTCTGTAATGGGAGATGGAGGTGGGGAATCCAGCCGCCACACACCCAGACCCGAGGGCCTCGTGGGGAAGGTCCACTCAAACGACTGTGACAAGCTCCAGTTAGACTCTGTCCCACTCCCAAAGGGGCGATCTAGGGTTGGCTGGCTCCCCTGATCTTGGGGCAGAGCAGCCAATGAGCCTCCCAGCTTCTCTTGGTCCTGGCTGGGTGGCCGGAGCACCCCTTCTGAGAATCGACGCTGGGCCAGGCTGCTGGGACGGGGCTCCACGGGACCCTTGGCTGCGGCCTCCCCTGCACTCGGTAATGTTCGCATGAGGTCTGGCAGCGCAGCTCCCTCAATCGGGGCCTGAGGCAAGAGAGCCGGGGGCTGCTCCGAGCTGCGCTGCCCTGACACTGTCTGCACAGGAGAGCTGCTGGGTCTGAGGGTCTCTGGAGCTGCATCCGCAGGCAGCTCTGAGCTGGGGGAGTGGTGGGGATGTTCACGGGGACACGCTGCACTGGGGGATGCTGGAACCACGGGGAGGCAGACCGGAACCTCAGAAGCTGTGGGACTCTGGGTCTCTGAAAACTGAGAAGGCTGGGGAGACTCAGAGGCTGGCACAGAGACCTTAGCAGGGAGAGCTGGGCTAGTAGAGCCTCCATGCTCTGACGTGGGGTTTGGACTTGAGGTGACCCAGGTCTCGGAAGCCTGCAAGAGAAAGGCCAACAGTTGTCACTGAGTTGTCGCACACAGGGAAAGGCGCCGGAGGTGAATTCAGGCCAGGCTCCTCCACCAGGTCACCGCCCCAGAAGAGGTACCCAGCTTTATTCACTTGACATCATTCTCACCATTTCAGTGGCTCAAACCCAAACGCAAGGCCCACGTAAGGGTCTCCTCCAAGAGGCTACAGTTTGGGGGCAAACAACACATACTTCATACATGGAAGAAGAAAGGGGGAAATCTGACCATCTAGATACACATGAATAAAAGAAAAAAGGCTTGCCCCAGAGGTCTACAAGTTCATTCCAAGCCTAGAAGCATCACGAGCGGAGGAATGGGGTTTCATCCTCTGCTCTGGGCACCCACAGGGCTCAGTACTACCAAAGGAAGCACAAAGACTGTGGATTCAAACAAAGAAGGGTGGAAGTCACAAAAGGCACACGGCTTCTAGCAACCCCAGCACTGCCTCCTGTAAGCAGAGTGTCTCATTTCCACAGGGTCTCTCGGGGCCTGGGGTCCCACCAGTACTGCGATGAGGTGGCCAATGTCCACCTCAGAGTTAGATAAGGATTAAATAAGATTTGTACATATGGGCCCGGGGAATTAAAACAAAAACAAAAATAAACAAACAAACAAACAAATAAATAAATAAAATGCAGCTGTGGTTACAGGGAGAAGAGATTACATCAGGGAAAGGAAGGAGGCAGAGGCGGCACCAGGCCCCTGGTTCTCTTGCACTATCCCAAGAATTAAGTAAATCCAGCCATACTGACACTTGCCCTGACTTCTACCCTATCACTTGAGGTCATGACCCCTAGCCACTGTCTCCAATGTTCTGTCATCATCTGGGTGAGGGAAAAAAATTCTACTTCTTCTCCAGCCACCCTCACCCCCATTCTTCCCTGTAATAATCTAGTTTCCAAACTTGTGCCTTTAAACTGTATCATTAATGCCCCACCCCTTGTCAGGCTCTGAAAGCATTCCTTGAACACAGCAGCCCCTGGACCACTGAAAGCCTCCGAGCATCACTCTTCCAGTGATGTCGAGAGCAGAGTCAGCTCTCCAGCATCCTTTGACTCATGCCCTGCATTCTCCTGAGGCCACACAGTTAGCCCCAGTCCCTCCATCACCCCTGCCTCCAGTCTAAACTTCGCATCCACCACCAGCCCAGCCTGTTTCCCATTTGTCCCGTTCATCTTTTCATGCTCCCAGCTCTCTCATGCTTCAACTCCCTTTGGGAAGCAAGGGTCAGCAACCCTACTTCCTTCTCACAGTTCCATCCCCTCCTAGCTCTCAATTCTCTTTACCACCGTCAACAGTTGCCTTTTACACAACACAACCCTCAACGCCCTCACTCTGTCCACACTGTTTTAAGCTGCTTCAGCATAGCTCTCGGCCAGCTCTATAACCTGTGCAGCTGGACATGGTGGAAGGAAAACACACAGCAGCGATAGCTGGTCTCCCTTCAGATGCATGATGGATCTACAACTGTCTCCAAAGTGCTCACCAAGCTGCTGCACACACATGCACACACGCACACGCACACACGCACACACCATTCCACGCACCCCACAGACAACACATTTACAAGTCTCCCCTCAAACCTCCAACACCTCCTTCCCATCCTCTGGAAGTAGATGGCCTTGCTTCCTGTTCCCTGAGAACAGAAGAGAAGCCAACGTTCCGCACCTTTTCCTACCCGCCACCAGAAGGAAGCCTGGGGGCTCGGCTCCCGGTCCATGACCAGGCACTGTCCTTGCTCGAGGCTAAGGCCAGCCCGTCGTCTCTCCTGCATCACTGATTTTCCCTTCCTACTGGATCACTCCCACAGCACACCAACTGTTCTACTTTCTTCCATCTTAACAGAAAACAAGAGAGAGAAACAGAAAAAGAGATCATGTGGCCCCCATCTCTCTCTAGCTGCCATCTGTTTTCTTGAGAGTATTGGTTACTTTCAAGATACACAGCTCCTGCTGCCCCACCTCTCATTCACCCTAATCAGGCCTTCTCCACATCTTGTACCTATTTGTCAAGGTCACTGAAGACCTCCCTGTAGCTAAATCCAATTGACCTAACACGAGGAGGCAACCCAGCCTAGGTATTGGCACCTGCTGGCACACTCCTGCAGTCCTTGGCCAGGGTCTGGAGCTGCTCTCCCATCTTCACCATGGTGCTTTGGGCCTCTTCCCTCTGGTATACCACCTACTCCCTTGTGACCTGAGTCGGCCTCAGCCACCGTCTCTGTGTTGACAACTCCCCAAGACTTCTCTTCCAACACACTCACTTCTCCTAAATGTCACACTCCATCCAACCATCCAACTGACATTTCCACTCGGATGTCTAAAGAGCATCACAAACTCAGAGGCAAACTCCTCCTGTCTCCCAGCTACACCGTGCCTTTGAACATCCCCCTCTGAGTAAGTGGGAACCTCATCCTTCCAGTTGCTAAGGCCAGGTGCCTTCAGGGTATTCTTCTATTCTCCTGTCTCCCTTCTTCCTCAGAAGAGTCTCTGAATGTCCCCTCTTTATCCACCACCTACAGATTCAGCTGTTATCACCTGGATCACCTGTGTCACCTGGACACAGCTAACAGTTGCTTAATCCCCGCTGCTAGTCCTACCTTCCTCCTGCAACCCTTTCTTCACCTAGGAAGCATGATGTCCCCTTACAACTCAGCCATCAGACACCACTTCTATAACTTCAAACTGCTCAATGGCATCTTCTCCTTGCTCAAGCCCATGTCCTTAGAGGCCTCCACACCTTGGTCCTCACTACCCCCTAGTTCTCCTCCCACGGCACCCCCAGACCAAGTGGCGTCTTAGCCTCTGCACACACCGAGTCTTCTGCCAAGAATGCAGATCCTTGGGTATCACACCACTCGAGCCTGACCTATGTACTGATGACTCCCCACTCCCCTCCCCCAGCACATGACATCCCCAGGTCTCCCAGCATGCAGCGCCTGCCTATATGCCAGTTTACAGGCTGTCTACCTTAGCCACCTTTGGAAGTGAGGTCCTTACAGCATACACATACCCAGACTCACGCGTCCCTTCCGGGGCACCAGGGAGAGCTTCTAGCTGACAACAGCTCCCCAGCAAGGGTTAATTTTCACATTGCTCAGAAAATGAGGCTTCCTCAGAGAGAGGAGAAAATGAACAGGAAGCTCAGACGTTCCCCTCTTTCTGAGGCCAGAAGCAGCAGTGTAGTGAGGGAGGATTCTGCAGTCAGAAACTCCAGGTCCGGCCACAGGCCAAGTGAGTTACATAGCCTGAGCTCTGGTGTTCTCAAAAGGGGCTGACAAAGCCTACTAGCTGGAGTTACCGAAAGGATCAAACTGGCTAATATTCCTAGGACATGGCCAGCAGCACACAGTAGGAGCTTGGTCAGGGCTAGGAATATCTTAAGCACTGCTCCTTAATCATCATGATCAACCAGACTTAGCCACCTTGAAGACCAGGACACGGGTCTGGGAGTTCAAAAAGGGGATCTAAGTCTTGGAAGCCAGTCCCTGGCAAGCCCATGGGCCACAGTTTTCCATCTAGACCCTGAGAGCTTACAAGGTGAAATACTTTACCACAGCTGTGCTCACAACACAATGACAACTCACATCGGCAGGTGAGTCAGAGCTAGCCAGCTTCGCCAGGTCCCCGTTTATGGCCAGGCTGGAACTGAGGCTCCTGAGAAGAAGAGAGACAAAGGGGGAGATGAAAAATATTGACATCAAGTCAGACAGGCACAGAGGCACAGGTCTTTAATCCCAGCACTCAGGGAGGCAGAGACAGTTGGATTTCTGTGTATTTGAGCCGGGTCTACACCAGGAGAACCAGGGCTCTAGAAAAACCTTGTCTCAAAATAGGAAAGGGAGGGGGGCCCACAGGCACTTTTACCCCCCGGAAGCACTAGAGATAAGGAAGCTAGGTGGTGCCCCCAGGTCAAATGCCCAGGACGTAACCAGCACTCCGTCCCTGTACACACAGGGTCAAATTCCCCCTCTTGTATAAACAGCTTCCGGTGTGTTCAGATCCCTCAGAGGTTCCCAAGAAGACAATGTCTTCCTCTCCGAGTCCCTGAGCGGTTAAAGTTCTTCTCTGGCCAAAATGTAGCTGGTCCCAGCAGCCCTGCTGATTTTTTTTTTTTGAAGGATTTGGGGGGTTGGAGGTAATTTTCCAAGACTGACTGACCCCTTCATGGATGGATGGAAAAACCCAGGCTAGAAGGCAACATAGCCTCCCAGTAAGTAGCCCTGGTCCTGGGTATGCAAAGGTTAATTTCTCCACAAAACCACCAGGTGTTTTCAGGTGAGAAAAGGGCAGGCTGGGGGACAGGGTAGGGCAGGGTAGGGCAGGGTGGGGCAGGGCAGGGCAGGGCAGGGCCTTCAGCTTCAGGCTCAGCCAAGACCACAACAGGCCAGTCCTCCAAAGTGGGAGAGAGAAGGCGACTACTGGGCCTAATTATGCAAGGTTCAGGCTGTTGTTCTTGCTCTGAAGCTTCGGGTGGCCAAATCCCTCCAGGCCCTGTGTCCACAATCCCAAGGAGCAGCTCCCAGCCAGCCTTCCCTTACAAGCAGGCCAGCTATGGGGTAAGAAGTGCATCTGGGAACGTGTCTCCAAATAGAAGAAATCTCTATGCAGAATTATCAGAAGCTCAACACACTCCTCACAGGCTGACACTGTGCTCTACAGATTCCAACACACCCCTCTGTCCCTGGGGAACTTCCCCCCACCTCCCCCTCCACTGCCATGGTGCTCTGCCACATGAGACCTACCTACCTATGCAGTTAAGAGCATAGGTTTCATCAGAGACTGAAGCACCAACCAAAAAACATGCATGGGCTGGAGCTAGGACCCCTACACACATGTAACTGATGGGCAGCTTGGTCATCATGTGGGTTCCCGTGCAGCTGGAGTAGGGGCTGTCTCTGACTCTGTTGCCTGCTTTTGGATTCCTTTCCCCTAGCTGGGCTGCCTTGTCTGACTCAGTGGAGGAAGATGCACCTAGTCCTGATGTGCCTGGCTGGGTTGGTGGCGGGGAGCTCCCTTCTCTGAGGAGAAGGGGAGGGGAGAAAGGGGGAAGAAGGTGGGAGCAGGAAGAGAGAAGAGAGGGGGCTACAATCAGGATGTAAAGTGAAAAAATAAATAATGACAGGAATGAAAAAAGATCGTAGGTTTTAGAATCATATACATCTGCTTTCAAACCGAGACTCGGTAGGAAGTCACCTTAGAGCTTTGATTTTCCAGTCTCTAAAATGGACCTAGCAGACCCTTCTTTCAAAGAGCATGGATATGGGGTCAATGCACTACTAGTCTCCTGACCTCTAGACTCTGGAGCATAACATTGGTCAGCTCTGTACAGAGAACTATAGTGGGCTGGGGATGTAGCCAGTGATAAAGCACTGGCCTACCATGCTCAGGGCCCAGGGTTCAGTCCCCAGCACTGAACACACGCAAAAACACATAGCAATAACACCACCTTTAGCTACAGAGACCCTCTGGGACTAAACCCAGGTTTTCCTATATTCACACAATGAACCTAACAGTAAAGGTGAGAGCCCATACTAGAGCCCGCTTGCTCCATAGCCCCTTCAAGACTTCAAGGAAATACACAAGCTCTTAGGCCTTACCTCTCCTCCAGGGTCTTGCTACGTTCTTCTTGGCATTCTGCTGGAGACTCTGCTGTCCCCTCCTGAGACCATCCTTTGGCAGGGGTCTTATCACTCTCCTCCCTGGGGCCAGGGGCACCATAGGTCCTGGGGCCGTATCGAGAGCTTCCATCATGGTTAAAAGAGAGGCGGGAGCCCCAGAGGCGATCAGGGCTAGCAGGGATCTCCTTCCGAGGTTGCTCCATCTTGGCCAGAATCTCTTCTACTGTGTTGGCTGAAAACCGCTCAGAGGAGGGACGAAAGGGGGCAGGGGCCTTCCGCACACCGCCAGGGGCAGCACATCGGGCTGGGGGTGTCAAGGGGGGCGGGTCCTCTTTCTCAGCAGCCTCTTGGCTAACTTCTCCTGCAGCAGGTGCCTCAGCTGTAGGCCTGGGTGTAAATGGGAGGGGGCGCTTGCTAGCACCGTACGGCTGAGGTCCTGCCAGCATGTTCATCTTCCGGGCAGAAGGCAGCTCAGCCAGGGGACCCCGAGGAGGCCGAGGCCCAACAGGCACCAAAAGGCTGGGCTTGGCAGGTAGAGCTGGCTTGCTGGGCAAGGCTCGGGGCTTGGGCTTGACGGGGGGCTTGGCCCGAGGGTCACCTATCAAAAGGAATAATTCATTAGGAACTGTCAGAAGAACCATGAAACATAAATTCTTAAGACTCCGGCTGCACCAAATTTCCCACCCTCCAACTTCGGAACCCATCCTTGTAGGTGAAGTCGGTGCTGCCTGTTCCATGGAGCCTTCCTTGACTTTTCACGTCCCGTTATATAGCCTCCCTTCTCCAAACTCATAGAATGTCTACCAGCTCCCTTCTTAAAAGCTGAAGTTATTTATGGCTGCTTTGGCACCTTATATCCCTAGCATCCTATTTTACACCCAGCATACGTTCCTATCAAACGATTGAATGAGCAAATGAGCATTTCCATCTGCCTGGCCTCACCAAGCAGCCAACCTGGGCACCCTACCTCTTTATACAGCTCTATGTACCCCAGTTCCATAGCAAGCTTCTCATCCTAGCCAAGCCCCTGTCTCTCTGTTGCCCCTCCTCTGGCACAGGCCACCTCCTCTGTCATTCAGTTCATGATCAGGAATACAAACTTATTACTGACCTGTGTCAAATAGAAGTAAATCTGCCACAGGAAGGAAGGAAGGAAGGAAGGAAGGAAGGAAGGAAGGAAGGAAGG